ATTTTGCGTATTGCCAGTTTTATATGGAATAGTTTTGGTTTCCTGTAGTTTTACGCCATTTTTGACGGGATTTTACGTCTAGTTGTAGTTATATATAGATGAATAAAAATATAATATTTGTTTTCGAACGATTGCCTCAGACACGTCTTAATTTTTACAGTTATATATATATATATATGTTTACATAATGTAGCTCGTGTTTATACACAATTATATTTGTTGTTCAATAAAGAAAACAATTCCTGGATGACAAAAATCCATGTATGGAAATGTTTCGTAATCGTTATAGAGAGGGGAGGGGGGTTCCTTAAGGCATCATAATCGGAGATAAGTTTGATATAACTGAAACTTAAGTAGTGACTTACAAACCAGCCTGCATGTCTCTTAGTTTGTGGTTGATCAACCGAAAGTCTGGTCTGTTTTCCGGATTTTCATCCCAACATTCTTCGATACAGCGTATGACGTAGTCTGGACTGTCTTGAAGTTCGTTTACTGGCGGCCTGAACACCTTGTTGTAATCCTGGGAGTTTATAACTCGCTCGATGATAACTAAAGATAAAATCCAAAACATGATCCCATGCGATCCAATTAAGATGAAGAATAAGTGTGTTTACAAAGACATCACAAATAGTTGAAGTATAATTAAGTGTAACAATGTTTCGTTATTTGCCATTCTATAGTATTGTATATCGTTGTGGAATTGTTATGTAGATGATAAAAATGGTACCTTTATATTTTTAGTTTTATTCTAACCAATCTGGAACCTTCATAACTTTATTTGATATTATTCTAGTCTTAACTTAACGTTAGCTTCTTAAATCTAATGTATGTTTATTTGTGTATTACTACATCAGGTACTGCTTTGCTTGCCAGTTAAGCCTATGGAATTGCAATTAGGCCTAAAGTTCATTATTGTCCACACTGTATATACCTTTCGTTAGTACATGCTGCTTTTTTTGTCAGACGAAAATATACTTAATAACGGAGGGTACACGACTGATGCGATAATTGATACTAACTAGATAATTAGGACGTAATAATACGACATTAAATATACTTAATAACGGAGGGTACACAACTGATGCGATAATTGATACTAACTAGATAATTAGGACGTAATAATACGACATTAAATTAACTATATTCACTAATGATTTGATCTTGATTTTAGATCTAAATAGGTAACTTTCTCTGATCGGAAATTAATGCTAATTATATACTTTGTTTATTGTTGACTGTCGTATAAACACCATATACTTTGTTTATTGTTGACTGTCGTATAAACACCATATACTTTGTTTACTGTTGACTGTCGTATAAACACCATATACTTTGTTTATTGTTGACTGTCGTATAAACACCATATACTTTGTTTATTGTTGACTGTCGTATAAACACCATATACTTTGTTTATTGTTGACTGTCGTATAAACACCATATACTTTGTTGTTGTTGTTTTTATTTGCTCAATATTCTTAAGTGATCGTTGATTATATACACTTTCTGACATACTTCGTCCATTTTGTTTCCTTTGATCCATAGGTGGCGCTGCCTTAACGGGGTGCAAAAGAATGACACAAGCATCATATAGAATTATAATAGATCACAAGGCTTCAGACGAATATAACCATGTTTATAGAATAAACTGAGTCTGATGTTAAACCAATATCATATATATATATATATATATATTAAAAATGTTACCTCTTATTGTAACAAATAACGCATATTTATGTTTGTGATCGTGATTCGTTTTAAAGTTTCGAGTAAATCCTGTTAAGTGTTTTTTTTTACATATTCAGAAAAAATACTTTGAAGTTTTTCAGCATGTATAAAGTTAATATATACACAATCCAAACAGGGACGGTACATTTCCACCCGACTCGCAATCTGAGGGTCCCGGGTTCGAATCCCTGTCACACCAAACATGCTCGCCCTTTCAGCCGTGGGGGCATTATAATGTCACAGTCAATCCCACTATTCGTTGGTAAAAGAGTAGCCCAAGAGTTGGCGGTGGGTGGTGATGACTAGCTGCCTTCCCTCTAGTGCTAAATTAGGGACGGCTAGCGCAGATAGCCCTCGTGTAGCTTTGCGCGAAATTAAAAAACAAACAAACAAACATTTCCACCAAGAAGAATACAAATAAAGAATGAAGTTTGTGTCATTTATTTATATTTGTCAAAATCAATTCTCAATAATTTCTTCTGTTTCCCTTTTATGCTTATCATCAAGAGTTTGATGGTATTACATCAAAATTCATAACTCAAACTGTCAGTAACAGGATACTCTTCCGTTTTAGTATCATGAGTCAGTTTTATCTTTCATGCTCCCCACCCCCCACCAAACAGCCCTAATAAGGATACTAGGGATGCTGTTTTTCATGCAACATTTTAAAGGGCCTTTTATACCACACACATGCAGTGATAAAAGTAGAGGACAGTCTGAACGTTTGGTTCAATCATCATGTAAACACGTATTTAAAACTCTTTGTGTTACTCGTAGGTTAAACTCTTTGTGTTACTCGTAGTTTAAACACTTGTGTTATTTGTAGTTTAAATTCTTTGTGTTACTCGTAGTTTAAACAGTTTGTGTTACTTGTAGTTGAAATTCTTTGTGTTACTAATAATTCAAATTATTCATGTCACATATAGTTTAAACTCTTTGTGTTACACGTAGTTTAAACTCTTTGTGTTAATTGTAGTTTAAACACTTTGTGTTATTTGTAGTTGAAACTCTTTGTGTTACTAACAGTTTAAATTCTTTGTGCTACTGGTAGTCTAAAGTCCTTGTGAGGTTGAATGAAAACTTACTTTGGTAACATAAGGATAAAGTAACACAGGTTTCATGTTTTGTTGGTTGAGTAAAAACTTACTTTGGTAACATAGTGATACAGTAACACAAGTTTTATGTTTTGTTGGTTGAATGAAACTTACTTTGGTAACATACGGACGAGCAAGTTCTCAGTTTTCTTCTTCTCTTCCATTAATTGATAAGTCCTTTCCTGGACCAAACCTTCTAAATTGTAGGCATATTTCTCCATCATTGCCATCATGTTATCAAAAATATTATTTTTCCTGAGGACATAAACACAGAATCATAGCTTTACACAAGGTTTTGTATTGTTAAATTCGATACATTGTGAGGTTGTTATATATATATATATAGAGAGAGAGAGAGAAAGTAACGTTATCAAAACTATTTTGTTTTATTAACATAAAGGTTGTGTCATAGCAAATCTCCGAGTAAAGGAAAGCGAAACTACGAGTAACACAATAAGTTTAACCTACAAGTAACACAAAGAGCTTAACCTACGAGTAACACAAATAATTTAAACTACAAGTAACACAAAGAGTTTAAACTACGAGTAAACATAAGGATAAAGTAACACAGGTTTTATGTTTTGTTAGTGAAAACTTACTTTGGCCAACCTAC